AGTATAGTGTATTGAGTAAACAATTTTGTAATTCTGTAAAAAAAAAAAAAGTATAGTAATTGCAAATCAGTAAGGTGAATATATTGTATAGGCCAACTGTATGTACTGCAAGAATAGTATTGTGCTGAATATTGAATAGTACTGAATGTTTGTATATATTGAACACTTGGTTATGAACACTATTGCACTTGGCAACTGCAAAGGCCAAAAAGACCAACTACTGTAAAACTCTAAATGACAAGCATGTTACAGTACACTCAAATACTGTATGTTGTGCAATTGTAAAATCAGGGTCAATGAGAGATTCATTCTGTCTCAGCATCATGTCTTTGTGCTTGAGCCCGGCCTCAGGACTTTGTCCACATCACAAGTAATGTTGTCTTTTTTGCTAGACAGAGAAAAAACCCTGTGGTCTGACAGATCCAGCCTTGATAACACTCTCTATGCCTTACTCTTTCTCTCCTCATCCTCCACTTCTTACATGTACTCTTCCTCCTCTCCTTCTCAGATTGTTTCCATCTATTGTTTGTATAATCACTCAGTCACCTGTGCCACTTGTGCACTCTGAGCTGGCTCATATTTTGTACCGATGGTTTGATCACATCATTAGAAACAAGTGTGGACAATTTTGAATCGTTGTGTGTAAACGATGACAACTGTGCTTTAGTTGTGTTCAACTTTTGTGTTTAGCATTTTGCAGCACAAATGCATCACAGTGTGATAAGTGTTTAAGTGAATGAGAATGTGTTTAGAGTTTTGCAAAAATAGCGCATGAGATTTGCAAATAGAGCCCAACTGCCTGAACGTGTTTAAAGTTTAGCAGAAAGAGTGCTTTATTCGGCAAATTGGTTTAAGCTAGTGAGAATTTGGTTCAGAGATTGGGGTTTAGTGTTTTAGCAATTTAGAATTTTTTTTTAAATTAAGTTCCCTCCAAAAGTAACAATTTAATTAATAAATTAAAACACTTGTCAAAGAAGAAGTACGTTTATTTTAAATGTATTTCTGAATAAAATTAAAGTGACCCACTCACCATTCAGCCTGTGATGAGGGCAGCACCTGCATATTAGTGTTTTTCCCATCTTTCTCCTTTTCCTGCTCTCTCTCATCCTCTTCCTCCTCTTGCTCATCACAAATGTTGTCCCACAGTTGGCTATTGACAAAAAGAACCTCCTGCAAGCTAAGCCCTCGGTCCACACAAGTCACCTGGCGACAGAGGGGACAGCGAATGGTGCGCAGGCCGCTGTAATGCAGCCCCATTGTCTCCAGACAGGGGGTGCAGAATGTGTGGTTGCAGTGGAGGGTTCTGGGAACACGGTCGATGCGGGAGTAATGCAGGTAACAGACCCCACATTCCTGATCCTCGAACAGAACCATGGCTGAAAACTGGAACCAATGTTTTTATCTGATGTTGCTGTAGTTTTGTCTTCTGGAAATTGTTTAGCGTAATATGCAAAAACAAGAAAAAATATGCAACTTTCAAACTTACTCCATTCATATTCCAATGTTGTTTGTTGTTTTATGTTTTTTTATTAGAAAGCGGGAATGACATGATGACAGAACTTTCAGATTTGTGTGAACTAATCCCTTTAAGCACAGAAAAGCAAGTTAAAATCTTGAAGCAGATGGCAAAGCCATCGCCAGATCGACCCCCACCGACCATTCATCCTTATAGCATTCTACTCTAATGCTGCAGACCACCTGTTAGTCCAGAATATAATATTAATTTAGTTTGACCTCTGAGTGTTGACCTCTGACCCCTTTCTGAGTACTAATGCAGACAAAACAATACTGCAAAGAATGACAAGATCTCTGGTTTCTGTAACCATGAGAACATCTACAAATTCAATTCACCAATACAATATACAATATTCCAGAACAAAGCATACTTTTTCATAATGTTATATGTTTAGTTGGTTTTGTTGTTTTGTTAGTGATGGTCAGGTAAAAGATTATATGAGGACATCCTTAGTCAAACTGTAACTTGACTTGTGTCCAAACCATTTGAACAGTGTGTTCTTTCTTTATCATAATAAACAGCACACTGCAAAAATCACTCAATTAGTTTTTCCCCCAGTGAAAACATCTAAACACCATTAAACAAAATAAAAAAGTACATAAAAAGCAACACTGCATAAAATATATGTCTTTTCAGGGAATACATCCTGAATTAAGCTCATTTTTAAGCTTAAAGCTCACTAAACTTTTGATAAGAAATAAACTCAAGGTTTATTAGAATAGTTTTCAGCATTGTTCAAATTATGTCAATATATCATGCAGTGTTGTTTCTAAAGTGAATTGATCTTGTTTTAATGATGATTGTATACCTTACTGGACAACGCCAAAGTACTTAAGAAATTAAAGGGATAACGTTAGTTCACCCAAAAATGAAAATTCTGTCATTAATTACTCACCCTCATGTTACTCACCCTTAATTTGTGTTCCGAAGAAGAACGAAGGTCTTACGGGTTTGGAACAACACGAGGGTGAGTAATTAATGACAGAATTTTCATTTTTGGGTAAACTAACCCTTTAAGATTGTTTGCTGTGTAACTGAATAAACAAAAACGAATGTAAATCAACCTCAGTTTTGAATGAAATAAATCAAGAAATATACTTACAGAAGAATGACTCGTAATCCAGTTCTCTGTATGGACTGCTACAAAGCTTTGTCAGGAGATGAACTCATCTGACTGAGAATTATGGGTGTGTGAATGAGAGCAAACTGGCTCTGCTGCTGTCAGTGTGAATAACCGCCGCGTGTTTTAAAGTAACGTTAGCTGTGGAATTGTGGGGGAGGTGATACGTGTCTTTCTCCTCCCCCATTGCCACACAAAGCAAAGCTCACTAGTTATTCTGAAATCAGTGTACCTCATGTCATTGCTGAGAATCATTAAGATTTCCTGAGAGATCAGAAATTCCATGTTTAAAGGAAATGTCAAGGAAAAACGGTAACACTTTAGAAAAACGGTCCGTTGTTATCAAGTAACTATGCAGGAAGTAATAGGTAGTACTAGGCTACATTAACACTTAACTTAGTACTATTAACTAATAGAGAAGCAAGATTAACTAAGCAGTAAGTAGTAGCAAATTTAGGACAAAGGTAGTTCCATATTAGATATTTGATAATTACTAAAAAAATATATATCCTCATTGAGAACTACTTGCGAACTATGACCAATTAATAAAGAATAACCAATTAATTACTAATCGCAACAGTAACGTCTTAAAAGTGAACAATTGGGTTATTTGTGGAAACTAATTTATGAATATGATATCCCCCAAATAAGTCGGCTACAGGTTGAAATTGTGACTACTACTCTTACCAAAGGATGGATGTTCTCTGTTTATTTCAAACAAAAACATAACATAATAATACAAATAATTAATTTAAAAATGTTGATAATTAGGAAGTGATTGAATTAGTTCACAATTATGAGCTCTAGTTTGTGTCAGTTCAGTATGTCTCCGGTTCCAAAGTGACAGTAGGCTGGGGAGGCCTTTTCTTGAATATAAATAATGATGTTCTCTTGACAAAAACAATTCACATCCTTAATGAAGGCATCGACTGCATTTATATTGTGTTCAGCACAAAACCGCATATTCCAGATTACAGTGTCTGGTAAAATATCACCAGTGCCTCACACAAATGTATGTGTCAGTATAAAATAGGCCTATATTAAATAACTTATTAAATTACTTAGTAATTACTGAGTGGTTAAGGTGTTTTTCACTTAAGTAGATCACTAGTAATTCCTGCAGTTCCAATTACATTCCACCAAATAGTCTTCTGGATTTTGCTAATATGCTAGTATATATATACTTTCCAGTAAAATAATCAAGAACTATTAATATATTTTCTCACATAAACAACTAAATTGAAAAAAAAAACTTGGGCTCGTCCGGGATTTGAACCCGGGACCTCTCGCACCCAAAGCGAGAATCATACCCCTAGACCAACGAGCCACTTATATTGCCATTGGTGTTCACGGCAGCTAAACTATTCTGAAATATTGTCAACGGTTTTTCCACACATATATGCGTATTTGAATTATAATTATGTGTCTAAGTTAGTCTTATTAACTACATTATTCGTTGACATTAGACGCAAATATAGTTAGTACTCTGCATATGAATCTACACGCGTCGGTCAGTGGCGTTGTTACTACGTAAGTACATAACGTTACGTACGTTCTATATTTCCTAAACACTCAGTCATTTTCACAGGAAACCCCGCTATGGTATATATGCTCTTTTATTATAAAAAAATCCCAAAGAAAACAGTGGGCTCGTCCGGGATTTGAACCCGGGACCTCTCGCACCCGAAGCGAGAATCATACCCCTAGACCAACGAGCCGCATGCAACACTTATTATGCCCTGAGACTATACAAACCTAACTAGTCACCATAGCTTACTGTTTTACCGTGAATTTTATTGCTATACCGTTACTTACGCTATATCTATGCGTATGAAATTTACTCTACTGAGCCACAACAAATCAACAATTAACGCCTCTAATGAGCCTCATTCACTACTGCAAGACTGCATTGCAATTGTTGAGCATTTTCCATACACAATTCAGTTCAGAATGTAAGTTACACGACAAACTTAAAAATACCTTTTTTTAATTAGTTACACAATGGCAATTGCGTACATATATAAATTACAGTAAAATCCGCGTACGTTGTATCCATAACTACTTAACGTAACCAAAAAACACGTGTATTTGTAAACACTTGAATTATTAAAGCTGATGTGTATTATCTTTTTGCTGTAACCTAATCACCTTGGTATCCGTATGCAATATTCACTGGTTTGTGAACTAATATTTTGAAGCTCTCGCATTCGCTACTAAAGCTGACTCTGTTGATCCATCATAAAATGTCAACACCTCATGGTCACATAAATTACCCACAGTCCTTCGCGGACTGCTCTTCCTGTGCCCGTCAGGCCATCACTGTAAGCAGAAAGATCAGTTGTTATGCACACCTTTGTGTAAAATAATCTTTAAAACCAAATGTATAAATACCACATACGTCCGTGCCGCATTTTCCATACACAATTCAGTTCAGAATGTAAGTTACACGACAAACTTAAAAATACCTTTTTTAATTAGTTACACAATGGCAATTGCGTACATATATAAATTACAGTAAAATCCGCGTACGTTGTATCCATAACTACTTAACGTAACCAAAAACACGTGTATTTGTAAACACTTGTATTATTAAAGCTGATGTGTATTATCTTTTTGCTGTAACCTAATCACCTTGGTATCCGTATGCAATATTCACTGGTTTGTGAACTAATATTTTGAAGCTCTCGCATTCGCTACTAAAGCTGACTCTGTTGATCCATCATAAAATGTCAACACCTCATGGTCACATAAATTACCCACAGTCCTTCGCGGACTGCTCTTCCTGTGCCCGTCAGGCCATCACTGTAAGCAGAAAGATCAGTTGTTATGTACACCTTTGTGTAAAATAATCTTTAAAACCAAATGTATAAATACCACATACGTCCGTGCTTTAATCTGCTCAGTAAATCGGGTTCGTTGTAAGCAAATGGCTCATGAAAGTGTGTAAAAACTATAACTATCAACTACTAATAAAAATTGTTATTGCGTTTGCTTTTGTGACAACTAAATACAGTCTGTTATATTCAATACGTTTTAAATTAATATAGCATTTAAATGCACCACACTATCCCAAATGATAAGCAAACTAATCCAGGTATATTGAATACTGTCAAAGACTGCGAGATATTGAAGACTACAGAAAAGGGACTTTGATACTGTACAGACATGTCCAATGAGAAGCCGTACTGTGAGCCACGTGACACTGCGGAAGCGCAGGCAGAGTGGCTGTTTTGTTCTCTTGTGTGTTGTGATGTTCTTGGTTGTTGTGCGCGTTCAACTGTTGAGTTTCTGTCACCTCTACAACCCCAGCTGACAAACATGTCAAGTGTCCCAGAAATTGTAAGTGAGATTTGTATTTTCAGAAAATAAACTTTAACACAAGATCTATCTAGAGTTCAGAGGTTGTAGAGTACGTCCACTTTCTTTGGAAACACAGTGAAGTAAATGCGCCTAAGTTACTATTTCTCCACGCTAACAGGCTAATGTTAGCCAAGTAGTGATTTATTAGTAATAAAACAATAAGACCGGGTGTGTAAAAATTCCAAAAAGTCACTTATCAACGTAATTATATAACATTATATTCAGTTTCTAATAATAGCTCAGCACGTAATGCCTCGTTATTATTGGAACACCACCGGCTATTTCTGTGTTAACATATTTTACCAATGAAATACTGTTATACCTGATTCTCGAAAGCCTGAAGTCTCAGTATGTCAGAGATCAACTTGATATATCAACTCAATTCTATCAGAGCACGCCAATGGTAACGTTATTTGTAGCAATTGTTGCCCTTGGAAACTAACCCCTATGCAGACACAACGCTAGATCAGAATGCATACACCCATCATCTCTGCTCATGAATTCTTATTTTTTCTCAGGCATGCCGTCCAGATCTTTTGTAATAAGGATGCACAAGGAAGATCACTGAGAAATAATGGAGGAATTTCTTAGCACGCTCCGTGATCATGATGTCAGGTACATGGTAGAATTCAAATTCTGAGCAATCCACATATTACAAAAGTGACTTGTGTTATACATTTGTAGTATGCATACAGCATCCACTATTTGCAGTTCTTGGGTTACACTTTCCCTCCTGTTCATCTCCTCAGCTCTGTCCTGTCATCCTGCGAGCCAGAATTACAGGAGCTGATGCGGCAGATTGACATCATGGTGGGGCACAAGCGGCGTGAATGGGAGGCGGAGGTTCGAGCCATGGAGCTGCGTCTGCAGAATACGCAGGAGGAACTCCAGTCAGCCAGAACTCTGCTCGACAAGAGGAGCTCAGAGGTATTGTATTGTCTCTTTTTCACCTTCACATGTTCACACTTTCGTTTGATGTGTGAAACTGCTGTAAGAAGCAAATTTGTTACATTGAAAGAATAGTCTTAAAGTTATAAGGCAACTGTCTGTTGGCTGATTCGTGATTAATACTGTAGTGAGATATGAGACAAAGCATGTTCCAGACTGCATTCTTGAGAACACGTTCATTACAATTAACTGTAATATGAGGCCCAGGATCTTCTTAAAGGGGTCATATGATGTTGCTAAAAAGAACATTATTTTGTGTATTTGGTGTAATGAAATGTGTTTATGCTGCTCCTTCGGATTCGACGAAGGAGCGGCCGGCGGGCTTGCGGCAACCACATGTGACGACCCCGAGCTGGAGTCCGCTTCGTCCACCGTGAAAGCCGATCCGGCGATCCACACTTGATGTATTTCCAAAGCGACCAGCACGGATCAGCTCTAGGCATGACGAAGCGATATCGTCCTCTTTTGGAAGGCCAAACAAAGTAGTTTCGCTTTCACAACGAAGCACACAGCGCCTTCACGACATGGCGGCGGCAGCAACAACAAAACTACAGCAAGAATAAAAGTTACTCCTTCTTTCTTTGCGTGAACATTTGGGCGGCGTTATGCAAATCTTCCCACATAGTGAGGTAGATATGTGGGGGCGTGTTAGAACAAGCTGTTTTAGGTAGGCGTGGTTGACTCTTAACTTTTATAAAGAATATCTCTGGATTTTAGACTTTAGTCTTTGCAACTTTACAGATCTTCTTTATGCACCAAGAGCTTGTAACACTCCAAAGAGAAAGGAAAAATTGAAATTGCATCATATGACCCCTTTAAG